CATGCCTCCAAACCACCCTTCAGGGGAGCAGGCCCGGGGTGAACTCCAGCCCCCTATGGCCACAGAGGCAGCTCTTCCCCTGCAGCTTTCTGCTTGCTTAAGCACTGCTTCTGCTATTAAACTCAGAAAAGCAATAACATCCCCAGCAACAGATGCCACTCATGATAGCTCAGGGAGCAGATAAGGCTCCCAGAAATGTGTTATTCCTGTTCAAAGCCTTGGTCACAGTGACCTCCACAGATACTTTAAACTCAAGCTGGTTCAGAATTGGTTCTTTGTTTGTTTGTCGTTGCATCCACTTTTTAAGGGAACTTTCAGAGATCCTAAGCCCTGCTCATATCTGCTGTGCTCTGGTTTCTTTCTTCATTTAATGAGGCAAAGGCTAGTTAATTAATAAAAAGATCTCAATCTCCCAGCTGACAGATTGCCCTTGGCCTGAGCAGTCATGCTCCCCACCCCTCTCCCTCCTCCCAGGAGATGGGAACCAGCCCTTTGATGGGATGTGTTGGCACCTCACAGGAACCCAGTAAATTTAAGAAAAAAAAAAACAAAATAAAAAAAAAAAGAAACAGAGTCAGTTTGCTTTGCACTGAACCTCAAAGCTGGGGCATGTTGCTGCCTTAGGATGGAACACGGAGCTGCAGCATTCCCACACTGCATCCCTATCCTGGCCCTGCAGGAGATGGGACCTGCACCTCTCCCCCTGCTTCCACTGAGGTGTCCATGGAAGCAGCTCCAGGCCCCGACCCTGCCCCACAACCCTCTGCTTCTGGCTCCTGAGGTGGGGTAGGAATAAAATGGGGATTTTCCCCAAAAGAGGCTCCTTCCTCCTCTTGGATGGCAAGGCCTGTTTGGCACCCCCAGGTCTCCATGGGCACAGCTGGCTCCTGCAAGGGGCAGAGACCAGAACAGCCAAAGCCAGGCAGGGACACAGGTGCTTCCATGGAGCCCCACATGGAAAAGCTCCCCTGTCCCTGTCCCCACACCATTTCCAATGCCGAAGCTGCAGACACACGTGGCTGCATCTCAAACCCCCTCTGTAATTACAGATCCACTGTTTCTTCTGGGCTTCCACTTATTTAATCATCCTTTCTCATCCGCCTCTAATACCCTGAGCTCTGTCAGAGGGCAAAAACACAGCCCTTACATCCAGAAAGACAAGAGTTCCCTGCAACAGCTGCTATATTTAACAGAAAAAAAAAAAAAAAATACACTGTGTTGCCACGGCAACCCTGGCTTCTATAAATAGCCCTGCCATCTCCAGCCCAGCCCAGAGCACAGGCAGTGCTGACGGAAGCTGCTTTCCCCGAGCGCTGGGGAATGGAAGTAAACTTTTATTCCTCGCTGGAATCACCACGGAGCAAACCGTGCAGGGGGAAAAGGAGAAAAAAAAAAAAAAAAAAAAAAAAAAAAAAAAAAAATTGAATTGCTAATTAATTAAAGCCTGGGGCGAAGGATCCCCACTTCCCTCAGCTCGAGGATTGATCCCTGGGATCAAAAGGGTGTTGTGGGAATGGGGGCAGGGCTGGAGCCGGCTGGATGGAGATGGAATGATGGTGCTGGATGTGGCTGGCACAATGGGGCTCTGCTCTCACATCAGGGTCACCCCCAACCAGCAAGAGCTGCCGGGGTAAGGCTGGCTTTGGACACACAGCCAGCCTTGCCTTGAGTGCTTTCAGTGACCTGCAGAGAGCCCTGGTGGGGACACACAGCTTTCCAAAGGGCCTTTTCCCTCTGTTCCACCAACAAAACCAGGTCTCTGGGCATTGAGTCGGGAGCCTTCTCCTTCCCCACTGGAGCAGAGTCCCTGTCACCAAAACACACACTGAGCTCCCTGCAGCCAGAGCCAGCTGAGCATCCCCCGAAATCTGATTAGCAAGGCTCAGTAGTCACAGCCTGCTCAGGAGCAGCAGTTGCTTCCCATCGCGCTCCAAGCCTCCAGCCATCTCCCTAATTCTCCTCGACATTTCCCGCTCCGAGTGGAGCCTGTGTGCCTCTGAGAGCTCACAGCCCCCAGCCCGGGATGGCAGTGCCCTCCTGAGCTCTCCCCAGCAGCCCTGGCTTCTAGGAACCCTTGAGCACGGAGCTGAGAGCCCGCTGGAGGAGGCACGGCGCTGCTTGACTCCTGCTCTGCTCCCGGCAGGAAGGGTTCTCCAAGAGGAAAACACTCCACGCCGTTGTAGCAGTCAGTGTGTGTGTGTGTGTGTGTGTGTGTCTGTGAGTGTTCTTGCTTCCCCCCACCACTTAAGGAAAAACAGATTGCCAGACCTGACGGGAGCCTAGAGAAATCTAACGCAGTATTTTCCTCTGGTTCATGGTTGGTACCAGCAGCCTCGGAGCAGGGTCCAGAGGAGGCCTTGAGGATGCTCAAGGAGCCAGGCTGGGAGAGATGGGAGAGGAGAAGGATCCAGGAAAAGCTCAGAACACCTTCCAGGGCCTAAAGGGGCTCCAGGAGAGCTGGAGAGGGACTGGGGACAAGGGATGGAGGGACAGGACACAGGGAATGGCTTCCCACTGCCAGAGGGCAGGGATGGATGGGATATTGGGAAGGAATTGTTCCCTGGCAGGGTGGGCAGGCCCTGGCACAGGGTGCCCAGAGCAGCTGTGACCAAACACCAGCAGCAGCCGGGACTCTCTTGACTCATCTCCCACCCGTGGTGGCCACAGTGACGTTGCCTCCCCTCCAGCAGCTGTGCCCCTGGCTTTGCCAAAGACACTGGCAGGGCACAGGAGATGCCCCAGCCCACCCTGCGACCCCAAGCTGGACAAGATGGAAACGCTGGAGCAGGGCACTTGGCTGAGAAA